CCAATGACTTTATTTCACTAAGTCTCACAGCAGCAAACTGGATTTTTCTAAAGCCCATCAGCAAAATGACCAACCTTCCTAATTATTATAGAAAGGAGCTATTTCAGCCTTCTTGGCAATTTCATCTAACTGTTGATAGTTTTTTCTTTCTTTCCTATTTCTCATAAACCATATAAGCGAAAACATTATAAGAAATTACTTTAAGGAGTTGTACGGAGAAGGTAAAATAAAGAAGGAAGAAATTGACACGTGTTTGAAGGAAAAAGGGCTACCCCCAATAGAGGAGGAAAGTAGAGAAATGCTAAACAAAGAAATAGCGCAAATAGAATTGAAAAAAGCAATATTTAAACAGAAAAGTGGTAAAACACCAGGGAATTTCATCTAACTAGTGATAGTTTTCCCCTCCCCCTTTCCTTTTTCTCATAAACCATATAATCTACAAGTTGTTACCAAGTTATTATGGCTAAATTGACAATGTTGGTGCAAATTTTATTAAGCAGCTTCCCCTAAACGGGGATGTGAGGTACAATTTTAAAATAGAGTAGAGTAAAAAAATTGTCAAGACAGAGGGACCCAGTTTGGAGAAAGTTTCACTCTCTTGAAATAACATACGGACAAAATATGACTTAAGCCTGCCAAATATAGAGTTTGTTTTAAACACCGTAAAGAGCCATCAGCTGAAAGGACATCCCTTTAATACAGGGGTTTCCAAACTTGGGGACTTTTAAGACTTGTGGACTTCAACTCCCAGAATTCCCCAGTCTGGGGAATTCTGGGAGTTGAAGTCCACAAGTCTTAAAAGTCCCCAAGTTTGGGCACCCCTGCTTTAATAGAAAGCAAATATTTATCAGATTTGTGCCTTTAATAAGGCCGACACAGAACTAGAAGCCACCGCAAGTGCCACAGCAAACAGCTTAGGTCTTCTAAAACATCAAAAACCACAGGCGTTAATAATTTAACCATTTCTAAAAGTCTCCGTTGAAGGATATCCAAGTGAAAGGAATCCTTCCAGAAAAAGACACTATGTTCAAGAGCTACCCCGAGGGCTGGTAGGAACAGAAGCATTCTTTGGCCATGGATTAATACAAGAGTCCTGAATCATTCTGGATTTTAGGCGGGCCCTCCTTCCTTGTCCAATGTTGCTGAGACGGATTGGAAAGAGATGCTGTATCTGATGGGCACTTTTGACCTCCTCCCTGGATGTTCCTTTAGATCCATTCTGAAAGAAGGACAGCGTAAGGAGAGATTTCTCTGCTCTGTCTTTCCTATTGCAAATCAGCCAGGGGTGGGATTCAGCCAGTTCGTACCGGTTCAAGCAAACCGGATGTTAGTTTTATATCTGATTCGCTGAACTGGTAGTTACAAGGACTGGCTGGCCCTTTCCACCCCTCCCCTCCCGGAGTCTCCATCATCCTGCCAGGTAAATGCCCGGAGACTCTGGGAGGGCGAAAAATTGGCCTCCTGGAAGTCTGGAAACGGACCTCCAGAGCCCAGGAGAGGCAGTTTTTGCCCTCCTGGAGGCTCAAGAAAAGCTTCCGGAGCCTGGGGAGGGCAAAAAATGGGCTTACCGGAAGTCTGAAAAGGGGCATTCCAGCCTTCGAAGCCCGTTTTCAGCCCAGAAAATGCCCCCCCCCCAATGGTGCAAGAGGCCGAGGAAGCCACACCAGCAACTGGGCAGAGAACCAGTTACTAACATTTTTCAA